TTCAATGCACAAAGAATAGCAACACCCTGAAGCATCACTGACGAGACGTCCATCATTTTCTGGACGGGGTTGGTGCCCTGCTGGTTCAAGATGTTGTGGGCCTTCGCGCAAGAAGAAATGTGCTGCTTATGTAAAATACCGGAGCCAGATTCGAGGCATGGAAACATCCAGGCCTCAATAAGTTTGTTGGACGCTACCAAATTGATCTTCATGCCCTGAAAAGAGGTTGGCGCTCTGCAATCTGTGAACAAATGGGTCTTGCAACAACAGTGTGCCTTGCTGATCGGGGAGAACATATTCTTTTTCTCCTGACCGTGAGGAAATTAAGAGTGTTGCTCCATGGAAACTGAGTAGTATGGTGTTTTGGTTGGAAGCTGGCCTCTGCAGCGATCGGAGAAACATAGGAGGGGTCCTGCCAATAGCGATCGGTAGAAACATATCGAATAAGAATACCCTTAGGCCTGTGAGTCTGGTATTTCTTCATAGAAAGTCAGCTGTGGTTCGCCATCTTCCAAGTCCTGATCAAGAAGAGATGGCTCAAAGAAAACAAGAGTACCCCAAATTCCACAAAACATATTTATTTGATATTAACTTATTTGATTGTGACCAATGATCACAGTCTTTGCCAGTCCTGGAGTTTGCGCTTTAGGTTGCGCTTCGGTGTATGAAGCACTGATGGCTTGGAGTTCGTCCTGTGGGAGCAATAAGTGGTTAGTGCCCGAACTCATAAAGAGGTCGCGAAACCCACACTTGTCCAGTCCTGTCCATAGCAAAGCTATCCACCCCAAACTCTACCCCGGCGCGACCCTGGCTTGATTGAGACCCTGGTTGCATGTATACAAGTCGCAGCTACAAACCAAAAATGGTCAACTGAATGGCTATCCATGTCATGCATCACAAATTAAACTCTTTCTTTCCAAAGCGAAAGTCTTCCTACGGACGCCGGTGAAAGCGAGCGTTGAATCGCATTTGGGGTATGATCTTGTCTAAGACAGGCTGCTCCCCCACATTCAGGTTAATTAGGGCATCGCAGTCTCCTGAAGTTACTGCTGAAATCCAAGGCAAAGCAGGGAGTGGCTCAGCACAAGGGTTTCCCTGACTGAGGCCTACCAAATACTTCACAGTCCTTTCGCTGCTTGCATAAGCTTCTGTTTGCAAAAGCAATGTGGCAAGCTGCAACAACTTGGCCCTACGGTCTTGATCAAACACTTTCAGAGGTCGTGGCTCTCGGGGAAAGTCCCCCAACAAGGCATGGAACTCGTAGGGAAAGATCAAGACAGGGTCCTGCACAGATCTGGTCCCTTTCCCATGTACACACCACAGAAAAACAAAGGGTCCTGACTCAAGGCATCGTCTGATGCAAATCGCTTCACACAGCAAACCACATCATTCTGTGATTCTGTAAGCCGGTGTCTGCCAGGGCCCTCAGCGATGACCTTCATGTTGCCCGGCACATCTGGAAGGAACATCATCGTTACCAAGGGCGTTCATTGCAACAAACTCAAAAGGCCTGGCCTTTCCGGCGAAGGAACAGAAAGGCGTGAGCACCAGAGCTATCATCTCTCAAAGCCCCAGAGATGGTTACTGGGGCTTTCTCAAGCCTGAGAAAAGCATCGAACCCTCAATTAGGATCTACTAGACTCAGAAGTCGGACTCTCTACTCCAAGAATGTGTTGAATGTCAAAGGAGCCAGGCTTTCCAGTTCCGAGTCGTCCTGAGCTCCTCCACAACCACACGAGCGCTGCCAAGCCAGGCCTGAATGTTGATTTTCTCACAAAGGTAGATCAGCTTCCTAGGCAGGTCATTGGTTTTCACCCAATGCATCATGGGTTGAATGCTTCATAAGCAAATTAAGCAAGGCTCTCTCTAATGTCAGGTGGGTCCAGCAGCAAGTCTACCCAACGCATACTCCGAGAGAGCAATCCGAATACTTGATCTTGGTTTGGCGTGGACCACCAGTGGCTATTCAGTGTGCGTTTCCTAAACACAGCTTGCAACACAGTCACCAAGGGATCCATGAGTGTGACCCACTCTGTGGAAGCACAATCCAGTTAGCTCCAATCCCTTCTGAAGAAGAAGCCATCCCAATGTTTTCAGGACCGTTTGGTTCTTGTTCTCCCTCGCGCAATTGTCTGCCTCAGGAACTATTGGAACCAGCTAAAGCTATGAGAATGCCACACAAAAAGGCATGCTTCTGACCATGTTATTCGACCTTCAGACTAGGTGCCCAAATCATAATCTTTTTGGGCATTTTGTCCTTCAGGATCCCCTCTGCATACTCGATGGTTTTGAGCATTGCTTCAACCACAGTGCTTCCGTCACTGGGCTGCCTTACCTCCACTACATGGAGGAACAGACAGACCTGATGAGCCCAGCACCCCTGTATTTTTATGCGAGGACGATCCAATTTCTGTAGGGATTTAGTAAGTAGGTGGTGCCTCATTCTTGGCACCGCCCACTTACTTTGATCCATTCCATCCTTAGTCCAAACCCAAACACCTCTTTGCATGCCAACATGCCTGCAATCAACATACCTGGAGGGTATCGAATCCAAGTGTCCATCGTCAGCAAGAGTGTGTCACTATCAGTGAAGGGATCACAAGCCTGCCCAAAGGAGCAAATCTGTGGCCCTGTGGCTTGTGAAGTCAACCCAAACTGAACAGACCAAGCCTGCAAAAACGATTCGAGTCGGCGGTCTGCTGCGACTGCACTGAGATGATCTTTGTATAATTTGGCAATTTCAAACTTCTCCAAAGGGTCCTCAAAGGAAGCACACAGCAATAGGACCTTTGATTCTTTTGAAAGCCCAGATTGAGATTGAGGGTGTGCAGCCAAATGTCGCTCTCATCTTCAAATGCCGTTTTGTAAGCACTGCAGTCATCGCACACAGCAAACCCAGAAGGATGTGAAAATCGCAAAAGGTTCGCCCAGTGCGACTTGAACCTTCGAACAAAATGGTTGTACCTAAGTCAATACAGCATCATGGGACATGGGATGAAGGAAACCGTTACGCTACCAGACATGGGATGAAGTCGATACAAGACAAGAAACGAAGTCTGGACCTCGCAAGCCGCATGAAGCATTTTCAGGTTCCCTGGTGGGAGGTACCTTGTCGGAAGCTGGGACAAACCAGCCTTGCTTTGTGCGAAGGTGGTGTCAACAATCCTGAGTCGCAATGGTCAGGTTCCAACAATTGGTTTCTGTGTCGGTGTCGGATTATGCAGAATCAAAAGCATCAAGACATGGCTCTGCGTCCAAAGGCCCTTGAACCCCAAAACATGGAGTCGCAACTCCAAATCACTCTCTATTGCCTCTGCTGGAAGATCCCACTCGTCTGTTTCGTCATGCCGGACCAAGATATTCCCTTCATCGTCCCAATCTCAGATACGAAAAACAACCAGCTGGAGCTAGAACAACAAAACAGAGCAATGCAACTTGCACGATACCATGCCAACTAGAAGCCTATATCATCTGCATGAGTTCCGTGGGTGAACTTGATCTTCAATGAGCAGTCCTCCTCTGAAGCTTGTCGTGACCGAGCTGCACGCTGAAACCTGGAAATCTGAATGTGGGGAATAAGAACCATTTATTTACTGTTTGCATCAGTCTTGCAAACAGCAATGGTTTCGATTTCATATCAGGTGGCCGATCTGGCAGCATCCCACCAGCACCAATGTACAACTTTAAGAAATAGCTGTCCAAGGACATGTACTTGAGGGGTGTCCGCTTGTTAACCTGAATGACTGCCAGGTGATGTTTCCTGAAAACAAACCTTCATTGGTTTCAAGTCGCATGACCTCTTTAAAATCAAGAAACCGCTCCATGGCATTTGTACCTTCGATCCAGGTGGCCTTTGCCAGCTGTGATCAAACGACTTGACCTGATGCCCAGCATTGCAGCTAGGCACTTTGGACTGATCACAATCTTTGGTGTGATGAAGCTCCAGCTGCGGTTTCCCTTTGGGATGCCACCCACTGTCTGGTGTATCTTAGCTAGCTCAAGAATAGACACGCTCAATCAATTTATAGAACAATGCCCATTGGAGTGAATGGCCAGTAACTAAGGTTCTTACATATGCATCTTGCTCTGGTTTCCGTAGGGACCAAAACAGATCGATGAAGGCTTTGATCGTGCTCTCATAGTCATGCATGCGCTCAAGGCAAGAACCCCGGTGGCATCTACAGTTCTTCTGCGCCAGAAGCGTCGAAAGTCTCAAACTGCTGGTTCCATTGTCTTGGTGCCTAACAATGCAAAAGCCAACTGACCCAAATACAAGGTCTGTCTGACTACCACAAACTAAAACAGAAGCCTGAATAAGGATACAAAACAGTTATTTCCCAACAAGGAACTTTATGCGATGCTTGGGATTTGAACGCAGCTTCCTGTTGGAGTTATCATAGTTTGGCCTTTTTCGAGGTGGAAGACCCTGACGATCCAATGCACTCGTCTGCATGGCCCCTGCTTTGAAATCTCGCAAGGCCTTTATATCAAAGACCACTCTTCCCAAACATTCATTGGATGAACCTGGTTCTGGATCCCCACCACCGCTTGCCACCTCTTTGACTTTAGCCAAATCTCTCAGATACGCCTTCCGTTCAGGTGGGCCATGGCGTTTCAAGTCATTTGAGGCTGTTGGAACCAAGCTTCGCAGAAAGGTTTTCCTTTCCATGCCTGGTCCATGCCTTGACCCAGAGTGGGCTATGGGTCATTCACAAAGACATGAAAACCCGGGACTCGATTAAAATGAAATTGATCTCATTTGCGGCGAAACTAACTTCACTATAGATACAAAAGAATCCGTTGTGCAAACATAATGGGGTGAACTAAATGACTACGTAGACTGTATATATGTATATGAACTGACTCGACTGAGATGATTGATGTGGTGAGCACTCAAACAACTCAAAAGACTGAAGCAGCTGAAGCCTGCGACTGCCTCCCGCTCAAAAAAGTTTGTCGCTTTCGCACAGCGAATCCCGAGCCCCGCGCGATGTCCTCACCTCGAGCTCGTGCTTCAGCTCCTCTCTGGGGGGAAGCTTTTGGAGCTCGGCCTCCAACTCCTGCGTCGAATCTGGACGTGTTTTCTCCCAAAGCGCAGTCCAAACGAGCAAACTGGAGCATCCAATCAACAGTCGCAGTGGTAGGGAATGGTAGGGACATGAATGGAAGGAATCCTTCGGGTCCGAAAAGCACTGGTTGAGATACATTGGATGGTTTTGTTCATATCATATGCATATCATATCATCAAAGTACTGCCACTTCTGTCAATGGTGCCTGGTAGCAGCGCTCTGCCATGGCCTCTGTGCAGTCAGGGCACCGAACCTGGCCCACTGAAATGTGAAACTGACGTCACCAAAGTCACCAACGCATCGTGAAGTGGACAAAAACACCACTCACCACTGTTCACCAAGGAAGTCATGGTGACCAGGATTGGACATCTTTGAAATTTGGCACGACGCAGGTTTCGCACCACAGATTCTTGAATCGAGCTCTTCTCACCTTCAAGATCTTCAAGCACCACTGGAATCCGCTGGCGGGTTCCTTCTTAGATTCGCTGGCGTGACAAAAGGCCACCCACCAGGCTTGGGCAACAGCCAAAAATACAAAACGACAGTAAAACCACAAAAACACACATGGCTTGAAGGATGACGATTTTGTCTCCTGTGAACGCTTGACACCAACATGGATCCCCTACCAGTTACCACACGGGCATGGAACTACTTGTTTCTTCCAATTACTGATGCTTTGCACCCTCATCAGTCCATATAGAGGCACCAAACCAACCCACTGTTGGCTCAAAGTGTTCCACATGACCCCGGCCTGCGACAGTACCAGCAGCAGCGGCGCTACCAGCGCGAGACGCGCCAGGAAAGCACGATGGTAGACGAAAGCCACGGAAGACAAGGCCAAGCAAAAGCAGCTGAGACTTTGCAAATGGCTCACCTTTTGACGACTTGCATGGCGTGGCTGGTTTAGTGGCGCAACCCCCCAACAATAAAGCGCTGAGTGTTGGTGATATATTATGTCTTTGGTCCATGCCGAAGCCTGTTTGATATCTTCCATCTTTTCCTTTCTTCCTGGCTGCCACGTGAGAACTCGGCCTTGATATGTTCAGAACACACATGTTGAAGTCAACCTCCAGCAGTCACAAAGGGGTGGTGTTTAGTCTTCAAGTGAGTGGATTATGGGCACCCCTAACCTCCATTAAGCACCCCTTTGTGACTGCTGGCTCATTTATATATATAGTTTAAACTGTAGCTGTTTGACCAACCACAGCGACCCGTTGGCCTGCGGATGCATGAAGGGATGCGAGACCCAAACCAACACCGCCATGCCCAAACTGAAGGCCACAGCCCACTTCCAGGCGTTGGACATGGAAACGCAGGACACCAAAGCGACAGCGAAGAGCTTCATCACCACGTCCATCCAAATGTCCTCCAGGGAACAAATCAATGCACCCTTGGAGGGGCATCTTCTTCTATATACACATTCGGCCCAGGTTGCCTGGCAGCCTGCGGAACAACGACATCCGTGTGTTGGGATTATCAAGTCTTTACTGTGTTGCCTACGCAGCATTCTGCAAACTCAACGTCATGACTGCCACAAAGCTCTTACTCCCTTTATCAGGTTCGAGCCAAAATACTTTAAACTACTTTAAAATACTTTAAACCTCTTTTTTCTAACTGTGCAACAGGACAATGCATGCTGTTTCTCAACCTGCAGGTGAAACCATGGTGGAACCATGTGGAGCCTAGAAAAGCACATCAGTACATAAAATCTGACAAAGGCAGTCCTGACAAAGCGTATACTTCCGCAGCAAGGGCCCAGCACCCGCCAGCAAACGATCCGTCTTCGCTTCGCTGAGTAGGATGCGCTCCGTCAGCATCTCTGTAAGCTTGCGGCTTTTGAGCCTGTGGCCAGGGGAGGACTTGGAAGTAACCTACTGCGCAATGGGTTTATCCTCCGGACACAACTGTCATTCATGTGTATATACAACTGTAGAGAGAGTTCTTATCGTCCCACCCTGAAAGGCCCAATACCCTGCCATGCGCCATTGTCATTTGTTGAGCAGCAGGTCTTCGTAAAGGTGGCAAGCACGTAGAAAAGTTCAAAAACGCTGATACACTGGGGTTGGAAACATCATTTTGCCCAATACGGCCACCGAGTGCTTCCAATGCGTCCGAGGTCATATTAGAGGGAAGCGGGTTTGTCCAGGATGAATAGTCCACCCAGCATGTTACAACTTCCACATAACGGAAATGTAGCCCACTGAGTCAAACACAAATGCCCATTGTCTTTAGTAGGTTAGGAGATGACGCCCATGTCTTCCAATGCATTCACAATCCTAAGTGCATTGAAATGGACTTCTATTTTGTTCAAGCGTTTCGTCAAACATTTTGTCTACCAGGATAATTATACAGCGCCACTTGCCATTCTAGGGGATCATTTTAACCCTCCCAAGTTCCTTCCCTGGCAAACTCCTACACAAAGCCATCAGGCAAGTAACGTGTCCAGGTTCTTGGACGCTGCTTCATCGGCGAAAAACTTCATGGCGTCCATTTCTTCCTCTTCTGAAGCCGAGGACTGCTGTCGGAGATGCGTCGTCAGCATGGTCAACACCACGGTCTCTGCATGCAAATGGACCTGGAGTAGCAAATGGACCTACAAAACAAAAATCCATCTACTGGTTGCTTACCAGTTTTACTGCAGTAGATCTTAATACACCTTTATGGTACATGTTACCTATGCGTGTCAGAGGTCCATATCGTTAAATGCTACTGTAACTGTAGATAAATTTGTTAGGTTATTTTGGATGCGAAATGATGCAAGCCTGGATCTTGCCACGGCAATGCACTGACAACTGAGCTGCCGCCGCTGCCTGAATGGTGAGTACTGGATCAGGTCAAAAGCAAGTGCCCTCCCTCCAGACAAGGCATTGGTTTTATGCAATAGTTGTGTTTTTGGTTTTCGATTGCAGCGGTGATGGAAGGGGCCTTCAAGGTTTGTGGCAAGTTTGTGGGGTGTTGCTTCCATGAGCTGTGTGTGATTTGAGAGTTTGGGCGGCTGCAAAGCGTGATGCATGCTGCCAAACGGAGGCTCCCATTTTGGCATACAGGTTTGTTCTTGGCATACAGGTTTGTTCTTGTTTTTCATGCGCACGATTTTCACCCTTTGCTAACACAAACGGTGGCCAGTGAAAGACCTGAATCATGTCGCTGTGCGAGCATGTCCTTGCTCTTTCCTCATGACATGGTGAGTGCCTAAACTCTGCAAGACTTCAAGAGCGAGCTTCCAACTCCCATTCTGCAGGCCAGGTGCCAGCAAGCGCTTTGGAAGAACTTCTTTCGATAGGGTCCCTTTTGCCGTGTTCAGGTGGATGGTCACCCTCTGAGGCTCAACTTTGGAATGAGCCAAGAAGAGCCGAGCTTCCTGGACTGCAAAGTACCTCGCTTCTGGCAACAGCGGGCCGGTTCAAACAGCATGACACACCCCGGCCGGACATGGCCAAACGGATGCCGTCTGCAACTGCAACCAAGGGAATACGAAAAACTGAAAACACCCGGCTTGATCAAGCAAATTGGTCACAACAACTCAGGTTTCAAGACGTGCCAAGAACGATGCGACAATGCTAAAAGCTGAAGTCTGGTGCAAACAAGGTGCTGGCGCACCATCAAGCCAGCCTAGTAAGCAACTCTCATCTGGAAACCCAAGTCTCAACAAAGCCTCCTATACTGAGTGAAAATGCTTCGCAATTCCCATGATTACCCTCCAAACAATCTAGAGTACATTTGCTCCATCGACAATGCTTCTGGATTGGTTAGTTAGTTCGTTAGTTATCCCGACTCATCCAGTGGAGGAACGATGAAGAGTGGGATGAGGACGCCGTACGCCACCGCTGAGCTGTAGCCCACAAGGTCCACCCAGAAGGCCATGCCCTCTCTCTCCAAGCATCAGAGCTGAGGGAATGCCGCACGGAACGCATGCTCACCGATGCTCTGGCTATCTGCGGCGGCTCACGGTGGAGTGTAGGACATTCAAGATCTCCAAAACAAGTGGTGCAACTTTACCGGTTTCTACCTGCATGTGGATGCACGTAATCGTCCAAAGGACATGGACATGCTTGACATACGATCGTGGAATGGCTTGAGGTCTCGCACTTCATGTCATGTGTGTTTTTGGGCGCCTCCATCAGCATACTGGCAACTCAAGAGTGCAGCACTGCTGGAGGCACCGCCAATAAATAATAAGGTGAGGGTCTTTAAGGCCATGTTGACCTGCAGTTGCAAATGTAAGTACTGGTGTCAGTCGGGAGGACTAGCCATCCACTGTTCTCTGAGAATGTTTGTTTCCAAGCCTCTGGCTGCTGCTGGTTTTAAGATTCTTAAGGCCCACCAAAACAGGTAAAACTCAACAACAACTGATCTAGACAAAAACTCTTCTTGCTGCCCGTGCTCATGCTCATTAGCTATAGACTCTCACGCGAAAGGTCTGACTCGCTCTGACAAGCGGTTTCAAGCCAAGGTGCACCCAAGCCCTCTTGAAAGCACTCCAGTGTTGCACTGCAAGCGAGCCTTACTATGCACAAAAGTTGTTTCTACTTTTGCGTCAGCTTTGCAACTCGCATCCTGTGTTCAACAAAATCAGACAAAAAGTGCACGGCTAAGCCAAGTGGCAGCAGCAAAGGCAGCAACGGAGAGCCAAGAGCAAAGAGCGTTCTCACTGTTTCTGCATGGAATGTGCACTGGACGTTGAAAGAGTTCTGCAACTCCGTGGCCGTCAGCTGAAAAGCTTCCTTGGCTGCTTTAGAAACAGGGCTGGGAGGACATTAAGAAGTATGCCCTTAAAGATTCCTCAAGGTTCCTACTGAACGGTGCAAAAAATATCCTGCACTAGGATCAAAGACTATACTATACCATCCTACCAGTCGTGCAGCTGCAAGAGACCAAATATTGTAGAACCCCCACCACAACCAAAGCTGGTATGCAACACCCAAAACTAAATTTTTGGCTGTCGATGTCCAATGCTCCCGAATGGTCCAGGGACACACAAGTTCTATAAAGTTCCTTTTTGTTGTCCCCTGTGCTGGTTTAGCGTAGTTGCCGGGGTTACGGGGTTAATCCGAGGCATCTGCGCGGTAAAAATCGAAAAAAAAATATACTATTTTACCGTTTTTACCGGGGGGGGCGCCCCTTTTCTTCTAGCATATCCGCGGTAAAAACGGTAAAAATCAAACATGTTATGTGTTTATCGTTTTTACCGGGGGGGCGCCCCATTTTTTCTAGCATATCAGCGGTAAAAACAGTAAAACTCAAAAAAAACAAACCGTTTTTACCGGGGGGGCGCTCCTTTTTCTTCTACCATGTCCGCGGTAAAAACGGTAAAAGTCAAAAAAAATTAATTGTTTACCTTTTTTCCTGCGGGGTCGCGAAAGGATACCCCTTAGCAAAACAACGCTCGCGAACCAGCTTAGGTTGTCCCTGTCATGGTTCTACACGTATATAGGGCCTTTAACAATTCCGCAATTCCACGTGGTGCCAAGCGTCCAAATAGCGGACCTCTGGCAGGCCCTTGCCGGAGCGTTCCCCCATTCGACCAAGAATGCTCCACAACTGGACCATCTGAAGCAGAACTGGTGCTTGTAAAAGCAGCACCCTTTGCAAAAGGGTAGTCGCCTTGGCTTGTGGTTGGAGCCCAGGGTCAAACTCTGCAATCTAATTTCTTGTGCTTCTCTGGGCCTTGCCACCTGGGTGGTCATCAAAACCTCCCGTGCAAGCAAGCTGCGTTTGGGGGTCCCGGGGTGTTGCGGCGACCACCAAACAGCCACCGATAGCCCAGGAAAGCTGCCAACGCCACAGCTGCAGTGACGACAGCTGCCAAACCAAACGCCCACCAGGTAGTAGAGCTTGCTTGAGCGCACTTCCTTTGGTGAGGGGTGCACTATAGTGCATTCACTAAGCACTTTCAAGATCTTTCAAGGTACATACGAGTACACACTCCCGGCAAGCCAATGCTACTAAAAACAATAAAATTTGTGTCAAGTCTCTGGCACTTGCTCCCGGTGGCCCAAAACCCTTCGGTACAGCTAACACAAAGAGTGCCAGTGTAGCCCTCACCACACGTCCTGTCTCCGGGACACCGTGCTTTTGCCGGTGGGTGGCACTTGTGGGCCACCGTTGCCAAAGGCTGCAAACGTGCATGTCCTTCTTGTGGAAGTGCTGTGCTCGCGACACTGCCTGGCTGATTACATTGCAAGTGCAGCTCCGAACATGGCACACAGCTGTCACCTTGCAGGGCATGCTGCGGAGCACAACCACAGCTGCTGCCGTACAGCCTTCCAACTTTGCAGTTGCACTGCACCTTGGAGGCCGCACCTTCCGGTGAGGTGCTGTTTGCTGGGCAAGGCTGGCACAAAACCTGGCCCATGTGGTCACTGAATGTGTCTCTTGGGCATTTGCTGCAATTGATGCCATTGCCATGCCATCCAGGAAGGCATTCACAAAGCTCGTCCGGCAAAAACTTGGCTGGAGTTACGCGCAAAGTGCTTCCAGCTATGTCTTTGCACGCAAAACCCTTCAGGTCGTCACGGATTGCAAATTCCGTTGTGGTTTGCAAGAGGCCCTTCGCTACAAGTCGCTGAGCTTCTTCACCTCAGGAACTGCTTCATTGATGCCAAGTATGAATTACATGAGCTGACCTGTTGGCGTGATCAAACTCTCTAAATAGATCTAGATACTCTCTAAGTGATCTAAGTGTTACTTACCGGTTTCTCCAAGTAATCGGTGTACATTATGCTGACACTTGCTGTCACGTCAATGGGGAGTGATACCACCCCAAACAAGTCCAAGCTGCGGGTCTCTAGCTCAGTCTCAAACAAATCCAAGACGAGCCCAGTGCGCAACGCCTGTGCTAAAAGGCCATCTTTGATGTGGAGCTGACGAATGTCACGTAAAAGAGCTATGTCTGTTGCTGGTAGCGCCTTCAGATCCGAAATGCGGTTGCCTGACAGATCCACACTCGTCACTGGTCTCCAGAACATAGGCCAGGAACCATGAAGCCCAGCGTTAGCAACTTTTAGTGAAGACAAAACTGCAAGCTTGCTCACTATAACGCTCAGTTCTGTGAGCGATAGGTTGATTGGACCTCACACTTTGCACCCCTCTGGCAACATGTGGCGTGGGGCAAGTCAACAACAAACAATGTTGAACACAAATCGTTGCAAATGAACACATGCAAAAGTTGCTCTATACTAAGCAAAGATGTGAGGCAGCTGCTCATGTCCAAGTACTTCAACTTTGGCAACCAAAACTTCTCATTTGTGACCATCAGATCGTCGAAAGATTGTTGGCCAAAGCTTAAACTCACGGAAGTGTTCGACACCTTGAGTGATCTCAACTTCTGGCAACATGTACCCCAACTGCCGGGGGCGATTGAGCCCGATACTTTGGTACTGGAGAAGTCAGCAACCTCAAGATACTTAATGTATTTCAGGAACTCAATGTTTCCGGTCACCTTCGTCTTGGACAGGTCCAGTGCTCTCAAGCAAAACGAAAAAACACTCCGTGCCAATGCCATGATGTCTCCAAAAACCTTAGTTGCAGCATATTTCAAGGTCTGTAAGTTACTACGTTCTTCTGTGGCCTCAAACGTATACTGTCAAGAGTCCCAGTGACACTGGTTTTGGACAAGTCCAGGTCAATTAGCGCCGGCAACTGCGCAAGGACCTCAATGTCACCTTCCACGAATGCGCCGTGCACCTTTAGCACCGTCAGCTGACGCAGGCCTTGCAAGGCTACAATGTTGCCAGTCAAGTTGCGATGCCGCAGAAATACCTCACAATGTTGGGCCGCTTCATGCATTTCTAAATGTAAGGTTCCTGAAACAATCAATCAAACACATGCACCTAGAACTCTGCTTGGAAAAGCTTGCATTTCCCATGCCACATAATTAAATCCGAGTTTACCACAAAAGAAAACCTTACACCAGGCGAATCCATGAATCCACCCGACACAGTGTCGGAAAATCCAAGAACGGCTAGGGCTAGTAATACCAGTTGGTGCTATCACACAATTATATACATGAAACCGGGTGGCCTCTGCTTCAAATCCCGCCTGAAAAATTTCGACGTTGAGTCAACTGTTGTATCTCTTCATATCGTTCCCATTCTTGTCCTGTGATCATTGGTCAACGCATTTACCAAGAATGACCATTTGTCGCCGCACCAAAAGCCTCACACATCTTTTATGAATCCTTTGCGATCCCATCGCAAAGCAAGTTCCCAAAAAGACATGCCTAGAACTAACTAAGAAAGCTGCCCTAGCAGCTCGTGACTGGCATGTTGCAGCATGAAGGTTGAGACTTGAGTTGTCGCAGCTTCTTTTTGGGGTGAAGCCTTCTTAGCAGGAAGCGGACGTCTAGAGGCAGTTGTGAAAACCGACAACCTTTGAGGAGCAATTCTAGTGGTGGCAACGCCGGGCTGCATTTCGTTGATCCTGGAAACTGGTTGATTTCAGGTTCTTAGCGGCTTATATCACAAAGACCCCGTCAAAGCACGTGTCCACGAAATTCAACTGACGCTAGATTCAATTCTGTCACTGTGAAGGACCTGAGAATTAGCTACAGTGTTACAGTAATTTTGATAAAATGGAAACGACCCCATTCCACGGCTGGAAGCTGAACGCACACTGATTAGATTCTGTTGGCAGGAGTTTAATTTTATATAACAATCCCTGTGTTTGTTCCTTTCCAGAAAAGCCACATTCTCGAGGTGCTGGAGACCAATGTGTTCTGGAAGTTGTCCACCACAGTCAGAGCAAACCAGTTTTGAAACTTTGCAGCTCCACCGATTCTTGCAGGTGATGCCAGGCCATGAGCAGTGATTGCCATTGAAAGTGCCTCTCATTAGGTCACTGGGAACAGCTTTCGCAGCTTTGCAAGTGCCAAATCAAAAGCGAACACTGGTGAAAGTGCTTGAACCGGGGTCTTGTAAGCCCCCCTTCAGTGAGGTCTAAGGTCAAGGAATGTCAAGGATATGTTCCACAAAAGGACCCGTGCCAGTCCTTGGCCCCTAAGGCTGAAGAAGGCCGTTCGATACTCACACGTGGGTTGGATACTGGATACGGGAATGGATGGCCAAACCGGTTGGATGGCTGTCCATCATTCGTCAAGTTGTGAGGCTGTACCAAAGCTGGAGCGATACGCCAAGCATCTGGTCTAGGCGTCACATCGCACGCACACACAGCTGTCCTGCCTTCCAGTCCGTTGTAGCTCAACAAATTGCTTGAAAACACGCCAAAACGACAAGGTCATGATAACATATAATAACAGCAGCGGAGTACGATCAAGAGGCTTCTCGTTTGGAAGCACAACATCCCTTTATATACGTCTACGCCAAATATACCCAGAATGCAAGCGGGTAGCGCGCTGTTTTGGACCTTAAGGGGCTTGGGTATGTATCGTCTATACAAAGTGACATGTAATGCTCTGCACCCCACTTGGAGGTGGATGGATTTCTTCCACCTTCACAAGAGCATTTTCTCACCAAAGATCTGAGATCTTGCAAGCTTTACAAAGGCGCAGGGTCACAAAAGGTCTTGACCTCTGCTCCAATCTGGGGCATGTCGTGTCAACGTGAAAAACGTCACGCCCCTCCAAATGGTAAACTCTGCTCGACCATGTATTGATCTCACAGTCGGTTCCCTTCTCTGCCGTCTAGACTTGCTTCGTCCCAAGGCTCAAGCCCCCATGAACTTGGAAGTGCCTGGTGACACACTTGAAAAAGATCCAAAGCATCAGGCTCTGGAGCATCAACACCACACAAATGCCCAGGCCCAGGTCAGTGAAGACCCAGTCGTTCTTCTCCGCATTGGGCTCAATCTCAAAGACTGAAGGAGGGTCAGCAAAGCCACCATCAAGGCATGGCGAGTCATGCCATTCCCCACTGCGCTCACTGCAGCCACACTCTTGTAGTTCTCCTTGTCCTGAATCATGGCCTGCTTCTCGACCATCTCATGGCTACCAATGCCAATCTTCTGGCGCAGCTCAACAAATCTCTTCACAGCCAAGGCCTTCGTGCCAAAGTCCGCTGTGTTCTCCTGGGAAGGGACCGCATGCAATGAAAACAGCTTCCTCTGGAGTGCTTCCTGCACCCACAAACTCTTGACCTCTAGGTGTCTGATTCGGCCGACACCTTGGCGCTGAAATACGCCTCTGGCGGCGCTGCTATCCAAGTAGACTTCCATCTTCAAAGGGCTGCCAACGAAGCCGAAGATCTCCTTCGTGAAGATGCCCTCTGAACAAGCAGCAACTCCGCCGTTGAACTCTGCTTCGCCTGAGCTCAGGCAAAGCATCTGCAATGACCTTGCATAGCTGTAGATCAGGCAGTTGCCAACCATGAACATTGCACATGCGCAGCTCTTGCGCGTCTTCTTGCAGTTTGCCCAATCCGTGTCTGAGTGGATGATGAGCTTGTCCATCTCCCCACTGCGGGGAAGCCACACACCATAGTCCCGCGTGCCCTGGAGGTACCTGGCAAGTCGGTGCAACTTGATCATGCTGCCATCACATGGTTCCTTCATGTCTTTCGTCATCTCCCGGACTGCAAACTGGATGTCTGTCCGGTCATAGGAGAGGAGTATAGTGCCAGGCCAACTCCAGCACGGAAAAGCTTCACCTGCTCACCGGTCAGCTTCTTACCATCTTTCACCTCACTGTGCATGTAGGGCGTCGGTGCCTCATTGCACTCGCTCAGACCGAGCATGTTCAGCAAGTCTGTGATGTACTTGCTTCGAGGTGTCAGGAAAATCCCGTCCTCGTGGATCTCTCTCGTCCTGTTGAGGTGCGTGAACTTCTCTCCGGGCTTCTGCATGTGGATCTGACTCTTCATCTTGATGCGCCCATGCAGTTCCTTCTCAAAGCCAACCAAAGCTCTGTAGGGTCCGACCACCCCACTGCTTGCATTGAAGAACAGCCATGGTGGTGCAGGGTTTCGCTCAAACTTCAAATCTTTCAGATGACCTGCAGTCCACTCCACAAATGCTTGCCCTGCAATGCGCCTGCCGTACCACTCCTTCTTGAGCTTCCAGACCACATTCTCCGGCAGGGTGACACCCTTCTCGAGCTGTCTCTCGATCCATTCTTTGGGCGCTTGCAGGTAGGCCTCCTCCTGGATGGGAACTTGCCAGAATGCGTTCTCAACATCAGCCGTCAGAAAACTGTATCCCATCTTCACTCCAATGACGTCGATGATGCGGGAGGTCGAAGTGCTTGAAGCCACTGCAAAAACATCTGTCCGTGGATCACCACGTTTGAACTCTCTGCAGCAATACCTGCATCGTACAGATCCATCTGGTTTCCTCCTCCGCACCCATGTTGCATGTAGGTCTCATACTTGTCCATCTTGTTGAACTCCTCCTCGTCGCCCTCCTTGATCTCTTCTGCTGAGAGGGGCTTGTTTTCCTCATCTCCTGAGTCCATGTGCACATCTTCCACCTCCTCTTCACCAACCACGATGTCTTCGGTCGGGTTGTAGAGCGCACCAACATAGATTCCTCCCACGCGTGCTTTCTTTTCAGGTCTTTCATCTCCACCGCCGCCTGACCAAGCTCGTCTTGCTGAGATCTGGACATCCATAGGCGCTTCACCTGACAAGGCCGCGCAACGCCGGAACCAGTTGCTTCTGGGACCCGTGTGTCTTCTGCCGCTTCCAGTCGAGGAGTCTTGCTCTGGACCTCGCCTTCATCTTCTGCTGGAGCAATCTAGGCAGTACAGCTTCTTGCTTTCTCTTGGGTCTGCCGATGGTGGTGCCTTGGTCCCAAGGAACACCCATCATGCTGTCTATGAGCTCCCTGTCATGCCGTTTGGCTTCAACTGCAAATCTTCGAATTGATCTGGCTGAAATCGTGCCCTCCTCGGTGCCAATCAAGTACTCCACTGGTCACACTTCTCCCAAGGAAGATGCCTTTCCTCCATGTTGTGTCGCCCTTCGTGAAGACATTCCTGTTGTGTGATCTTCTGCTCTTGCTCACAGGAATCTTGACCAGGATCGTCTCTGCGAAAGGTACCAGTGGTGCCGTGTAGCTGGCGTCGACGGCGTCTTGGTAAGCTGTCCTCTGGTTCGCCTTCACTGCAAATCTGCTTCGAATGATGGAGCACCGTCTCACCAGCCAAGGCCACAAGTTGTGGGATGTGTGCAGGGTCATGCCATACTCTGCTTCGACGCAGTATCTCAGTGTCAACACATCACCTCGTAGGAGCCGTTGAAAAGCTCCCATGTGTCCAAGGCTCTGGCTTGAATACCTTGGAACCTCTTCAAAGATGATCTTCAGTCCAGCTGCACCAGGAGCCTTCCCTTCTCGCAAGGCCGCTGCAATCTTGGCCACAACCTTCTTGATCACAGGCTCGTTGTTGCTCCTCAGTTTCACTGTGGTGTAGCCGAGCTGGGTGATGAATGATGCGATCACTCTCACAACGTACGGCATCTCCAAGTTCTTGTCAGGAATGCTGAGAGCCAGTGCCATGCCGGAGCCACTGTCGACGATGGAGAGAACTGTATCGCTGCTGTCCTCATATCTGTCTGCCAGACTGGTGTCCGTCTTCAAGAAGGAATAGTCCAGCTCAAAGTGGTTGTCCACTAGCTTCTGCTCAACCGTCAGTCGACGATGTGGCTCAGACTCATCTGAGGCATGACCACGGGTGCAATACTCACACCAAGCTGCCGGGGGGATGTGAGTGATCAGATGTCTCTCAACCTCTTCTGTGTCCGGCATCTGAGGGACCGGAACATAGTTCACATCTGGTTCACGACCTTCTCGAAGAGCTTGTTGTCGGGCACTCTGCTTCTCCACATAGTCACGTGCTTTGGCTTGTCTTGCCCTCAATGCTGCTTCGGCCGCTCCCACAAGGTGTGCTTGTCTCCATAGATGGGCTCATCCAACTCTCGAAGCCTTTCTCGCAAGTCGGCCACCTTGCTCCAACCATGCAGCTTGGGTCTGTCAGCACGAGCGTGAGCTTCATCTCGAGCAAACTCATCAGGTAGGGGCACAAGTTCCGTCAGCCACACCAGCATACTCCCAATCATATTCTTCACCTTGACCTTCTTTGCATCCATTGGCATTGCCTCATCATCTCTGGCCTTGATGTAGTACGAGTTCTTGTAGAGGTACAAGGGGATCTTGTAGTCCAGGTCAGGATGCGACAGGAATGGACGAAACCTGTCGGTCAAGTCTGCAGTGAACCCTCTTTTGCTCATCTTGCCAACACTCACAACATCTTTGCTGGCATTCTCACTCACCTTGAACTCGGTGATCACGTTGAGGTACTGGTGGTTCTCGCCGATGATCTTGAAGTAGACTCGCTTCCTGCCAAGCTGTCCCAAACTCTGCCCAGAAATGCCAAGGAGCTGGGCATCGCTCTTCGTGGTGTACTTGTCTCCACCAAATGAAGGCCTGCATAGATGCTCATCAGAATCCCACAGGAGGTACTTGAACTCTTCATTGGGCCAACTGTGTCCCAGCAGGTGCCAGTCAGAAACTCCCTTGCCCAGTGGCTTGTTGTATTGGGTGTGAATCATCATGACCCATCGAGCGTCATCATAATCATCCTCGATGTCGAAGGTCTCCTCAGAAGCATCTGCTCAAGAGACACGTGGCTCGGAGTCATCCAGCCAGTAGTATACAGCATTCGTGCTCGCTGTGCCGCCACCTTGAGGGGATTGTGATCCCGATGCTGCTGCCGAGCTGGAAGCCTGCGTGATGGTCACTGCATTGGTGCTTGACCCTTTTCCTTTGCCGCCACCACCTGCTTCTCTCTGCAGTCTGCTTTCTTGTGTCCCCACTTGTAGCAGTAGGAGCACTCGCCATTGAACTTCTAGGGCTGCGTCTTGCCACCTTTGGCCTTGTCGAACTTGCCGCCCTCGTTGACTCCCTTGTCCTGCTTGCCAGGCTTGCCTTTCTTTCCTTTGTCGCCACCTTTGTCACTACCAATTGCACCAACATCCATAGGTGCAGGGCCGCCATCATCTCTGGTGGTCTCACCACGATTCGTGTAGTAGGAGCCGCTCTGGATGAAGTCGCGTAGGAATTTCTCTGCACGCTCATAGTTTGTGCCAATCTGTGGACCTGCCATCCTCATAGCTGACCTCACTGAAGGTGGGCGGTGTTTCATCAGCACTGCAATCTTGTTCCCTGCTCTGAACTTCATATCTTCGAATTTGCACCTCCCAGGTCTCCATCGCCTCGAGGAAGTCGATCTCCTTCACCGTCTCCCATGCTGGGGCGATGATCCCAGTCAACATTGCTGTATGCCGGCCGCCAATGTCCGGCTCATAGGCCTCGCACAAGGCCTTCCAAGCTGCAAAGCCGTTGCCGCTCTCCACGTTCATCAGAACCGACAAAGCTCTGCCCTCGACCGATTGGGTCAACAGGTTGAACAGGACCACTGCCTTCTCCTGCCCATTCTGTCCCATGTCCGCCAGGTCCAGGTCGGTGTACCTTGGTGCTTGTTCAGCTGCTGTAATCATGGCGTTGTAGCCGGGGTCCAACAAATTCAAGTAGCCACGGGCCACAAATGCCCATGGAGGCCAGTCTTCCTCCTTGCCATTGAACATCCTTAGCTTGCCGCTGGCGCGGGTATCGATCAAGCCGCCGCCACCCACAGCAAATCCAGGTCCAGCCATCTGCTGCAAAGTTCCTCCACCAGCGGGCGAGCCAGCCACAGGCGAAGCGAAGGCCTGTGGAGGCGTGCCAGGAGCCGCCGCCATGAGCGCTGCGTACCGCCACGGCGCTTTGGCCTGGACTTACGTCGAGTCCCTCCTGCGGCCACCTTCTTGGGCTTCACGCCGTCTTACGGAGGGTGGAGCCGGGCACCCCTGGACCCGGCTCCGCTACCATGCAAGCGGGTAGCGCGCTGTTTTGGACCTTAAGGGGCTCGGGTATGTATCGTCTATACAAAGTGACATGTAATGCTCTGCACAGAACCCAAAAAGGAATTGCGTGATGCGGGGTTGTGCGCACAGCGATCCACAGCGATCCTTCAATGTTCAACGCAATGGATCGATTTGGTAGAAACAACCAAGAAGCGATTACGAACAAAAAGGCGTGCCGTACGTACAACATAAGACTCATTAATACTCAATGATACTCAAAGTTTTGCAGGCCAAGCAGCCAATAAAAGCACATCACCCCATTGATGTCCATTGTTTCTGTCGAGACCCGAAAGGGTTTGGTTTCGGAACGTTTCAGCCCACCTTGAGCGCCGAGCTTCAGCAACACGCGTTTGGCCTCCGCGGCTTCTCGCTCACAGTCGCTGTCTGAATGGCCTCCAGTACGGCCGGTCTGCTGTTTTGGGGATGTGGAATACCTTGCCAACTGGTGCCTGCAAGCTACCAGTCTACTCAGTAAGTGGCACTAAACAAGCGAGAATGGCCTTCGCCTTTGTCCAACTGCAATAACTCACCGTAAGCATCCGTAAACCATTGAAACCACTGCAGGAGCATGCGCAACTGAACTGAAGGCATGCCTTGGAACAAAGGCTGAACCGAAGGCCCTGAGGGTTGCAGTTCAAGGCAAAGAGATCAAACTGCTCCACATTGGATTTGGCCTGTTTCGACCGTTTCGACTGACCACACCCCTGCCTGTCAAATTTGAGTGAATAGAGTCCGGGTTGTAGCTCTCTCGGATCGCTTGCACTTGGAGATGACAACGCAGCGCACATAGGATCGAAAAGGCGGTTCGAACGCGCCTCATCCCATGGATTGAACATAAGGCGGTTCGAACATGCTGTTCTGTGGATGACCATGGATGACCTATACAAACATGCTCCGCATGAAACAGGGAAGGTTGAAATGGATGACCCCGCCAGAACGGAGTTTGGACAACCGCTTTGGTCGGCCGTGTTCACAGAAAACGCTTGAGCCTCGTGGTGCAAAAAAACATTCAGGTGTATCAAGACTTGCACGCCTTACGTGTCAATGCCCGCATCATGTGCATCATGCATAACTGCTGGACACTACAAAGGCACGACGGTGACGGTGACTCCCATGGAACTCTGGAGCAAGCAGCCGTTTCGCCCCCTGGACTTCTTTCAATTTTGTTGCAAAAACCCACTAAATGTGTCTTATAAAATCTTATAAACGTCAAAACCAATGCCAACCGACACAACAATCATGAAAAAGTCAGCAGTGAGTGAATCCCCACCTCCAACACATAATCTACACGCAACAAAAGGGTGGCACGGAAAAATCATGTCGGCTTCCTGCTCCCCTCCCATCGGCTCAGTGGTGTTCCTCTGAGCTGTCGGCGGCACATGGACTGAAGAAGCGGCAGAGGGAGTGCCGCCCTTTGAGAGCGCGCCTTTACGGCAAATGGCCTGCATGGAAAGGACCATGTGAAAGAAACCATAAGAAACCACTGAACCTGATAGGAATGATTCCAACGAAATGGATCCCTGGCTAAATAACACGAATCAAAGTGGTAAATGAAAACGGCAACATGACCTAGAATACTTAGACTCTACTGTAGACGACTTGAATCCGCTGGGCACTCTCAGCTCCAAAAACCAACACTCGGATCGCCTCAATGACGTCGCCCAAGGCACACAGGGACCTGAGGTCATAACACGCTAGGCGGCTAGGCGCGGGTAGGAAGAAACACGTAACCACAATGATTGTCGAACATGACCGCCTTCCAGCGACAGTGACCACATGTGACCACGCATGTCTTCCCGGAGCCCATTTCAAGGTTGTTTCATGATGGTTCCAATTGCCACTCTCAAATACTCTTGGTGGGTGACAAATATTGGACAGTCTCCCAAGGTGGTTGTTGTACTTCCTGGCGATTTCCCACATGCAACAACACAAAGCAGCTACTCACCCTGATATCTGGCCGACACGCCCATAAATCCATTCATGCCTTGAAGAACCTGACCCCCCTTCTCGGATTCCTTGACGCGGATGGTATGCTGCATCCCTATACCCAACAGCCATGCCCTGGTGAGATGACATGAACTGACCCTCTCAAAGCGGTTACTCCACTGACATCACAGACTGTGCCTGTTGATATGTTGAGCTTCCTTCAGGCGATCGCCGGTGGCGCTGGTGTGTGCCAATCCTCGTGTTTGGAGCGGGCCATAGGAGCATCGGTCAAGGCAGGAAGTGGCTGATGGACCTGATCCAAAGTTTAACCTAGGTTTCAGCACAAGTGGGAGTTACGTCGATCCCTGGGAACTGATAATTGTTGATATTTAAGTTAAGTAGTATAATATATATACTACAAGTCCAGCTTCAGCACATTCAGTGGCACTTGCCTCAAAGCTCTTTCGCTCAAATCCTAAAATAGGATTGGCCAGAAATCATACTGCATTTGGAATTTGAGCCTAAAGCTTTTGATGGGGTTATACATCATCAGAAGCCGAAGACCAAAATTGATTAATACCTAACTCTCATGGTGCTAAGAACTTGATAGTGGGGGTTGGAGATGGCGTGGTGCACTTTTTATTTTGGTTGCATCAACCGCAGCAGGCCCCAAGTGACTTAGTCATCTTTTACTAGCGAATTGTGATTCCTACGTTTGCGATCTTTTGAGCGCTTGTTTGGGCACACGCACAGAGTAGTCACTATAGTCACTGTAGATTAAGATATATTAAGATTATTTTTCCAAGCTTGAGTCATGTATAGTCATGTTGTTCTGCATCAGCAAACTCCTTAAACGGTTGGATGTGGATCTTGCTCAGCAAAACAAAAGCTCTGTTCGAGCCGAAAGTGAGCACATCCTGGGATATATAAGATAAAGTCCCAGCGGTACACAGCCTTGGCACCCCAACGCTCGGAGCCGGCCAGGTCAACAAATGACAAAAGCCCCGACCTCGGCACAAAAGCTCTGACTGTGTGGCGGAGAAATGACCATGCATGCCTAGGCCCTTAAGCCTCCGCCTGCCGCATTGTGAAGCCAAAGGCTTTCGCACCCGCTACACTCCAACTACAGTACTATTCCAACTTATAAAAACTTATAAAGCACTTAAACATCAAGCCTGGCACACCTCTTTCATTCCTGCCCTCCCAAAATGGGGACCTCAGCCTACCCCTTCCAAGATCCTGACACCTAGCACGGGCGCGACTTAATGTGAGCAGTGAGGCTTCCCACAAAGAACGGTATGTTCACCCATCCATCCTGCAAACTAAGCTCCTGACACCTCGCGCTGCATGCCTGTGGGTGTAATGATTAGGTTTTGACACCCGTCTCACAGAATTAGATTCGCCTGTGCAGTGGTCTCGATGAAAAACCTCCACGCATCTCGATTCTGTTATGTGTATAGTTTAGAATGGAAATGTACAAAATCACACCAAATTCGAACAGCGTAACTCATCGGCGTAACTCATCAGCTGATCCCAGCTTCGCCCTTCATGAAACCCAGCTCGGCTGCCATCAACGCCCGATTCTATAAGGCCAAGCTTCACCCGAACGTCTCGTCTCATACGGGGCCCCGTGGCCTGCCTGGAATCACGCAACGACCCACTAGGGCCAGCTGAATGACCTGGGTGACACTTGACGATGCCAAAAACAAAAACACTCTTGGCATCTCTTGGCCAAGGGAAAGCATTGTTGATTTTTGCGAGCAATCATCAAGAACAACAGTTTCACAGCTTGTGCAGCTAGAGGCTCGTATCAACTGGTTGCTCAGCTCCGCAGGGTTCAACATTAGTGAACCCCTCATCCACCCGTCACCCACACTCTGCAAGAAACGAAACTTTGGCGACTTGGGGCATTTGGAAGGTCTTGAAACCAATCAGTTCCTCGCGACATGAAACAAACATCTCTCGTGAATCACTAGTCACTTGCCTCTGGTGCCTGGCCACGGCCTCTCAGGGCCCTCTCAGGGCACCCCGGCCGCGTGGGATCGGCTTGAGCGCTCGTTGGCCGAAGTCGAGGCGACCTCGGTGGGGCCAAAACGGGGGCCACTGGGTCAAGCAGTTTTCTTTCCGAAAATTTGTGTGAAAATAAAATGTGTCATTTGATGTTTCGCCTTCGCAAGCCAGCATATCATGCAGCAATGTTTCGCCTTCGCAAGCCCAGCAGCGCTTCTAAATTATATAATATATAGGCACGGCTGCACCCTCCACTCTGCACACTCTGCGTCCTACAGCCAGCCCAATGTGTGACAAAGAGTCTCTCTCTCTCTCTGCACATCCCGTTCGCCACAGGGCTCCCTGACATGCCGTTCGCGACTGGCGCGTTTCAGGAGCTGGTGCATCGCGGCAGCGTCTCCTTGGATGGTCTCAAAGGTGGGACTCGTTGGGCAGTCGGTGTGTATCATACTTCTAGATAACCAACAAAAGCTCTTTTTGGTACAGTATATAGTTATGCATTGTCATGGTGGTGCATTATCTTGCATGTTCTCATTTGTAATATGTTTCTGTCCAAAAAGCTCTTTCTCAAGTCAAGGACTATCCCAGCAACCAACTCGGTCACGACAACCAACCGTGCAGCGTCGGCTGTCGGCCCTTTTCCTTCCGCCACCGAGCGCGCTGTTCGGTGAGACAGGGCGGATCACTTGCGACGGTCCTTGTGTCCTTGGTTTGTTGGGAAGTGAAAGCACATAGCACAGCACATAAAGCATTCCGAAAGAAGGAACACACTTAAAGTCACAAAACCATCAAAAAAGGTCATTGCAATGTCACAATGTCAATCATTGCTCTTGCAGTACCGCCAATTTCTTCAAAACCAACCATAATTACATGGACAGTTACCAAAATAAGTCGCTTGAAGCTGTCCAAATGGGAACGTCCAAGTTCGTTCAAGGCTCCCTTGGGCGCTTGGAGCCGTAGCCTCGTCGGCGCGTCAATCTCGAATCCTTCGGCATTCACGAAGCGCCGCCACAGCACCTGCGGGTGCTGGGCAGCTTGGTACCGCGATAGGTTGAGTTCTAGCCAACAGAGAGCATCATGAAGTGTACAGATCCAAAGTTGTGAAGATCCAACACTGGGAGAATTCAGGAACATTGGAATCCAAAAAGATTTGAGATCCCAAGGGCATGACGTCTTACAAACTCTCAACCGATAGGTTTGCGGTCTGCATCTGATCACCCATGTTTGACTATAGTCTTCGTTCATCATCACCCCATCCCACAGGTGTCCGGTCCCACCTGCCTCGTACTCGCTGCGTTTCAGCTTGGAAAGCTTGTTCCTCGAATGAGTTCCAGCGGATTGCCCAAAGAGCGGAGCAAATCGCATCAGCAGTATGTTGCCCCCATCCAGAAAAACATGCATGTCAATGTCAGATTATGTCTTGTTCATGTTTGTTGTATGTATTCGGACCTCGGCAGGAAGTTTGAAACAACACTACAGGCCCCAATGACAAAAATTCATATATATCATATCAGTGACAACTCTGGAAAAGAATGGAAAAACACTTGTGGGTTTCCAGCTGGAATTTCCAGCTGCAAAGTTGGATTTTGGGCGGCTGCATCACCTCGTCCTTCACTCCAATGCCAATACCAAGCGTCCCGCTGAGGCCTGCCTCAGCTTCTGATGAAAAAAGGTGAGACTTGCGTGGATCGGTTTCTGCTGGCGCTGGCTGGATGTGACTGGGTGGGTGAAAGAACTTGGCAAACCAACCACCAAGCAAAACGGACCGGGACTAGTTACACAATTGGAAACCCACCACCAAGGCCAGCCTAGTGGCCTAGGGACTGGTACGGGAAGGCTGAATGGCCTGGTGATGGCTGACTGTGACTCTGTGACATCCCCATAGCTCCACCGCGGACATGCTGCGCTTCACTCGTGCCAAAACTATTTGGACCCTTCACGCTAGCCCTGAACCTGCATCCTTGTGTCAACTAATTACGGAGGAATCGCCAAGTTTCACACAAAACGATCCAATAACCCCTGAGATGCTCCAGGAAATTCCAGGAAATTCATTGAAATTCACCGTCCACCACCTGACCACACCAAGCGGCTAAGCCAGTCTGCTGGAGAAAGCCGCTGGAGGCGATACCTTGCAACGCCTGCAGGGTCGCCTCCCAGCAGTTTGAGCGACTGCGCTGCTTTGGGTACACTGGCCATGCTGGGCTCACTGGCCATCCAATCATGTCATACTCTCAATTGTCTGGAATCGGATGCTCAAATCCTGCACCTCCCCAAGCTGAAAGAAAATATAAGAAAATCCTAGAAACCCACCAGGCCCGTCATGTGAGGCTCACATTTAGTTAGCAAGTGGCGAACCGGAACAACCTGCAGCGAGCTATTCCAGTAAGATCAGTAAGAGCTGTTCCATATTCGGGACTATATAGACGGCCATAGGAGACCGGGTTCAATGTGTGGGTCATGCATCTGAAACGATCTGGAACCTGAGTTGGCTTGAGTGTGGCTCAAAGACTCAAAGATGAGAAGTTGTGTGACTAAATACACAATGGATCTAAAAAAACAATGGACCTGAGACTTTCCGGGATGAGAAGCCATTAAAAAATTAACTAGCAACTCATGTCGCTTTCAGGGATGTCCCGTCCAGCCGCCTTCTGATCTGCAGGTGGCGCGTCAGCGTGAAGCATAGGCACCTACGATCATGACATGGAAAAGTGAGGTGGGCCAAAGTCAGAAGAACTCAGTGCAGTCGTCCAATCCCACCATCTCCAGGGCTCGCCGTGGCCTCCTCTTCGACCTCCAAAGGGTCTGCCTCCTCCACAGGCTGCTCCGCCTCCTCCACGGGTCCTATGGGGCGATGCAGGGGGACCTGGTGATCCTCTTGTTTCGAACAGGGGCACCAACCCACTTGAGAGTGAGAAACTGCTTTTCGTTGATTCATTGGGATCATCCTCACTTTGCAATACTGAGTGGGTGTGACTTGCTTGGTTTGAGGTGGGGATGGGTAGGGAAGGTTGCCAATCTACCACTCTGGCAGTCTGGGTAGAATTAGCGTCATGAATAGTGACATCTTTAGTTGATCCAATGCACTCAGCTGGCACTCTTCCAACGTCCTTCCCTTCATTCCCCTATACCCTCCTCACTTGTTCTCACCTGCCGAACCTGTTGGAGCCAAGCCACTTCTGATGGGCAATCCAGGAGTGCTCCTTCAGCCGCCCCAAGGCGATGGAAGAAAGGAAGAGCCACGCATCTCCGAGGACCCCAAACATGCCAAATTCCACCCTTTCCGCGATTCCAATCAGAAAATATATAGCCTATAGCAAGGCCTGGTCTTGTCAGCAAAAGGCGTGAACTTTGTGTGGGTCAGTCAAGTACGTAGATAACAATGAAATGTCCCGAGGATAGACTTGAGGCCGAGGGTAGGTGACGAAAGCTAGCAGGGGTGCATCCGGACTGGTGGGACATCAAGCGGAGTGAGGCAAATGCTCATGAGGTAAAACGTATTGAACATGTAAGACACACAAACAGCAATGACACAGCCAACCTTAGAATTGAAGTCCCCGATAATTAAGGAAGCGTGGCTGGACTTTGCCACACTATTCGATGCATCCGATGTGTTTACGAACCTGTGAGCTTGTTGAATGAATCTGTCGCACCGTATCCCAAAACCTCCACGGAGGAGTTGAACCAAAGTGGATGCCATAAGAGGTGCCCAAGAGGTCTCCCAGAGCCAAAACAAAGCTGCTTGCATGATTTGTTTGGTTTCTTCTATCAATGTCGATGTCCTGAACCTGTGAGCTTGTTGAATCTGTTGCACTGTATCCCGGAGGAGTTAAACCAAAGTGGATGCCATAAGAGATGCCCGAGAGGTGTCCCAGAGGTGAAGTTTTCACGTGATGCGGCGATCTCGAGGATTCCAGCCCCTCACTTGCTAAAGCAAGGACAACTCCAGCTAGCTGGTGCTAGCTTTCGTGAAAAGGAGATCCGATCAGATCCCGGATAATGACGCCCCCTCCCAGCAACGCGTCTGCACCGGGAGGCTTCGTCTGCAACGACGAAGCAGTGATGCAAAGACACCCCAGAAGCTTAGGCGATCAAAAGGGCCAAAGTGCATAGATGATCCTTGAGATGTCAAATGCCTATAGTATGGGCCACTTAGTTCAGTAACGCTCAGTAGTTCAACCCGCCTTCGAATGGCCCCATCGGGTTCGACCAAACCTCCGGTGCGTCCTGGGCACCGGCTCCGCTGCAGGCTGCGATGGCGCCGACACCTGCTAAGATCGGACCGCTTCAGAAGAGAGTGGCGGGTTGCAGCAGCCGTTCGGCTATTCGAACAAAAAACGTCATAAGAAAGATCCCTTATGATACCTTATAGGCTCTTCATGAATGAAACCACCCCATTTCAAGCCCATTCAAATTGACATATTTAAACATATTGCAGATTACTTTGATCAAGAGTCTGCAATGTTGGGCTTGAAGGAGGGCTCTCAGCCTCTCGTTTGGGCATGCTTCTGCCTAACAGTCCAAAATTGACCCAAGCCCAGGCCCAAACAGCCTTAAAACACCGCGCATGGGATTTCCAAAGCTGCTTGCTCAAAGTCTCCCTCCCCTTACCCCCTCGCATCAACGGCCTCGTCCCGATGTGGTACTGCATCATCCACCTGGGCTAATTATGATGAGCAGTGAGCAGCCTTTGGAAAAGCATGAATGTTGTATGAATGTTGTTCCAGCGAGCATATTCTCCAATGCTTTCCAACATATCGACAAATCCCGTAAAGATAGACTTTCTCATTCAGTCACTTACCACCCACCAAACATACGTAAGGAATCGCCACTCGTGACCCCCAAGCTCAGGGCTTGCGGGAGGACCCCCCTAGTGCTAAAGCCAGGAGATCAAGTAGCTGAAGCTACCTTTCGTGACTTTTGGGACACCTGACGTCGCTGATCTCTTCATCACCAGCGCTCTGGTCACTCTCTTCTTCGCCCTCATCGTCGTCCTGCAGGCGACGGGACATGGGACTCACAATCTGGGCGGGATTCGATTGAAAGCTAAACACACCAGCGTCCACATCAACATGGTTCAAGCAAACAATTCTGCAAAAGACAAGGAGGAAGCCAACTCTGAAACCAAGGTGCCTTGTAAGCTCTCCGGGACACATTAAGGTCCGATAACATGGTTTCGAACCATCATCTGGCAAACCTTGCTAGGAATATATTGCATGATTTTGTATGGATCAGCTTAAAGTAAACATCATTACACTCGAAACTTATGGTCTCACTACAAACCAAGCTGATCCAAGCTGACTTACCACACTTCCCTAAGCTCTCTCCATCCGTTCTCACCTTTCGCCTGCGCTCTCCGTCCCCGTTTTTCCGCCGCTCCGGCGGCAGGTCGATGGCGCTCTGCCGGCGCTCGAGGGCCTCCTGGCGCCAGCGCTCCAGCAGCTGGGCTTCGGCGAGACCTGGTGCGGCGCGGTGCGCGGCGCGGACGACGACGGAGAGGCGGGGTGGGTGTGGGAAGGGGGAGGAAGGGAGGTGAAGGGGGGCCAAGGATCTGCAGGAAAAAACACCGTGAACGTGTGAATATGGGCCATGATGGGACATAGGACGGCCATCCAATTGCTCATATGAGTGAAGAAACAAGTGAGGTCAGCATGGACGTCTTTCGTTGCCTTTCAAGCGGGGAAGGCATGTAAAGGTCTGGAAGATGTTGGATACAAGTAGACTGGATGGATGGTAGTAGAATTGCAAAGAATGCCACACTACTTGATCATGGCTTGACTATATTTGATCTATCGACCTGACCATGGAAGACTTGTTTGATTCATGGACTCCACCATGCTTGATTCAATTGCAGCGAGCATTTGGTGACAAATGAAGTGAAAAGAATGGTTTACTGAACGCTGGACTTGAACATCTGCAAACACGGATGCCAGCAGCTGAGCCCTGTACGCAAATCTTTGGCTGTCTTCGCTTCAGAGTACACCTCGAATGCCTCTTCGTTCAAGCGCAAGAACTCCTGGCACTCCGTTCAGCACAACAGGTCGTGGGCGGTGGGATCGACACTCACAAAGCTACTCAATGTTGGACAATACGCGCACGGCGTCGGTTGGACAGTCTTAACCGCAGCAATTGCAGCGGCTAACTACCTCCAACGTTATCAACCTTGTTAATAAATCGACAACATATTATGCAACCCTTCACCATGCCCGCATCGGAGCCCATTGTAGCCACCGGCCTTCTATCAACCGTCAACCCAGCCTCGCCCCAACTGAAGGCATCCAGCAATCGCTGCCCGTCCACACGCAGACCAACAATGATCAGGGCCTTAAGCTCGGGTTGGAAGCAATTTTAGACATGAGGAATTCAGATTTCTCTGATGTTTAGGCTGTTTAGGTGGGAAATTCATGGACATTCCCAATTTTCCGATGTTTGACGCGAGGAATGGGTGGGTGTAGTTCATGACGTTCAAGTGATGCTTGCAGGGAATGCTGCCCAAAGCAAAACTCTCCCGGCTGCTCGGGCGCATGAAACGCCACTGCCAAAGGGGTCGAAGTACCCATGTAGGACCATGACCAAGTCGATCCCCCCTGCCGCTACTGCAGGCAAAGTGGCAGCTGCCATGGCCTCCGCTGTGTTCAGCTTGTTTGGCCTTCCTCAGGTGCAAAATAGATCAAGAAACCGGCACTACGGCATTCCAGTCAGGAAAATCCTCAACGTTCTGGCATGTTACAAACTATTTGCTGCCTCTGCTTTGGAGAATGATGTGGCCTTCTTTCACAGAACAGCTGCCAAGTACATTCGACTCACCAACGACCCCTTCCTCCAAACCACCAACATACCATAAGCATGTCAGCTCCCTCCGCCACGCGTCCATAGTTCACAGAGTTGGCAGCCACCAGGAATGGCAAAATCCTCAGCAGCGAGGAACTGAGAACTGCATAGGCAGTTGCTCTCAATGAGCTTCCTGCCACTAAAAGAACAATTATATTATTACCAAAATCGCATGCAACAAATCTTCTGATTTAACACATGTGCGTAACATATCGGGTAATAATAAACTTTGTGCCAACTACCCTCTGAAAGCTAACAAAGGGGCCGATGCTGGCTCTTCCGCGGCAGCTTGCTCCACTGGATCTCCTCCGCTTTCTGTGCTGTGGGGCTGGTGGGGGTGGTGCAACCCCTGAGAGAACAATGTAAAGAACACGGGTGGCAGTTCATCCGCTGAAGCATCGTGAAGACCTGGATTGAAACATGGTTGTGGTCATTCGGGGCACCTAGGTCCTGATATGATCATGAAGGGTGAGAGGATAAGGGTCAGATTGACAAATTTCATGGATACATATCGATACTAGTCTTTCTTGATCTTGGTACTTGAAATAGGTGAGCTTGCGGACCTCTTCGGTCTGTTGAAACAAAGCTTGTTGACTAGATTGCTCAGTTCTCTGCGCGAATGACCCGTGAACGTGAACGCAAAATCATGCAAATGGACCACCACAAGGTGGTCATGCAATGAGCTTGACAATAGATATTTTTTTCTATATGTCAATCCACTTCCAACTTCTCACCACCCAGTCGCCAATGTCCTCGATGCGATTCCAGCTGCAGTTCACGCCCGCCAGGCCGGATCTCCTCAGGCGCGGTAAAATCACTTGCCTTGGGATCTGACATGGAGCGGGCTGGGGAAAGCCTCGCCAGGGGTTTCCAACCTGCTGAAGAGACTGAGAAGCTCCGCTTGTACATCATAATCATCATACGATCGAATCAATTGCTTGTTACCCGGAGCCCGTTCCAACCCTTCCCCTTTATACTTGCAGACTTATACTTTGAACGTCATTTTGGTCCAAAATAAAACAATCCTTTACTTGGAACATCGAGCTTAGAGCATCCAGTGCAAGCACACTTGAGGCCGAGGGTAGGTGACGAAAGCTAGCAGGGGTGCATCCGGACTGGTGGGACATCAAGCGGAGTGAGGCAAATGCTCATGAGGTAAAACGTTGTGAACATGTAAGACACACAAACAGCAATGACACAGCCAACCTTAGAATTGAAGTCCCCGATAATTAAGGAAGCGTGGCTGGACTTTGCCACACTGTTCGATGCATCCGATGTGTTCACGAACCTGTGAGCTTGTTGAATCTGTTGCACCGTATCCCAAAACCTCCACGGAGGAGTTGAACCAGTGTGGATGCCATAAGAGGTGCCCAAGAGGTGCCCCAGAGGCAAAACAAAGCTGCTTGCATGATTTGTTTGGTTTCTTCTATCGATGTCGATGTCATGAACATGTGAGCTTGTTGAATCTGCTGCACCGTATCCCGGAGGAGTTAAGCCAAAGTGGATGCCATAAGAGATGCCCGAGAGGTGTCCCAGAGGCGTCCGAGGGGGGGGTGGAACCCGGGGGGGGGGGGGGGGGTGAAAGAGTGACTAGGGCGTACACGGTAGAGGTGCAGACCGCTAGTGTCTTTTATGCGCAGAGTCTTATCCTCTTGCTCTTTGAGCCTTGAAGCAGTCAAGCATGGACACACTATATCAGCTGTTGGAGTGGAACCCTGTACAGGTAGGCTCTACTTTTCAGCAGGCACAAGATTCATGTCCACTTCTAGCTGATTGCGTATGTCGCATACTCTTTTTCTACTGCAAGGCTAAAACAGTCCAGCTAGCTCTGACAACTTAAAAGAAAACTACGGTGCCATGTACTTACCTAATCCAGTGTGTTTCACACTTTGGAGAAGGTAATCTCATAGCTACTAAATACAGTGAGGGAGCAATAGCTGACTCACCTCAAGTACAAAATCAAAACGATAATGTACCTCGGCTGGAGACTGTACTTTTCGCAGGCGGAGATACCATGTACCGGCGCTCACTAGCTCTTTAGGGCCTGAGCTAAATCAAACTAAAAAGGGAAAGCGGCTTTTTCTCTACAGGGACCTATAAAAGAATCAAACGACACTCGCGTAACAAAGAACTAAAAATTCAAGACCGCACAAATTGCAATGAATTAAGATGCCTTGCAAGATGCAAGGAGCGTACGGTCCGAGGAATAATCTTCTCGTGACGTGGTCTCGACCGCTTTCATTTACAGACAAAAATAAACTGCATCAAAAGGACTCTCTTTCACATTCACATCAAAAACACAAGAAGGAGATACCGGCAAATGTATGTACAAAAAAAAATCTTGCACTACAATTGCAAATCATGAAATGACTTAATCATCAACCATGACTGGTTGTCCATTAGAGGTCATCTCAGAAAAGCGACTGTGATAGATATCATCAGTTATGCAAAACTGTCCATACCTATCTACATGCTAAAGCGTAAAAACCTGGAATGCAGGAGTATCTTCTTTGATAAAAAGTTTCTCCTGG